ATGAAAACAAGTATGTAACAAATGGCAATTAGAAAGTAAATGGAATTTATATGTAAAATGTAATATAATGAAGTTTACAGTACTTTCCAAGGGAGGAAGAAAAACTTGATAGTGGGAGGGGCTGGTGGAGAAGGGGTTCTTTGGAAGGTGCAGTCTGCTTTCTGCTCTATTTTCTTCAACAGTAATTCAACATTTTGGGAGTTCATGATAATCTTGTGATTAAACTGCGCTATAAATAAAATCATAGCACAGAAAATACCTCTAGGGTAAAATAAAAATAAATCCACAAGTTCTTCAAAACATGTAAAAAATAGTGGACGTGCTATTAACAATAGCCAAGACATGGAAGTAACTAACCTAAATGTCCATCAACAGATGATTGGATAAAGAAGTTGTGATGTGTATACACACATGCACACACACACCACACACGCACACAATGGAATACTACTCAGCCATAAAAAGAATGAAATAATGCCATTTGCAGCAACAGGGATGGACCTGGAGATTATCATACTAGGGGAAATAAGTTAGGCAGAGAAAGACAGATACCATATGATATTACATATATGTGGAATCTAAAAAAAATGACACAAATGAACTTATTTACAAAACAAAAGGACTCACAGACATGGAAAACACACTTATGGTTACCAAAGGGGATAGGGGAGTGGGAAGGGATAAATGAGGAGTTTGGGATTAGCAGATACAAACCAGTATATACGGAATAGGTAAACAGCAAGGTCCTAAAGTATAGCATGGGGACCTATATTCAGTAGCTTGTAATAACCTATAATGAAAAAGTATATATATATGAATAACTGAATCACTCTGCTGTACACCAGAAACTAACACAACATTGTAAATCAACTATACTTCAATTAAAAAAAAAGTCCATGTGCACAGCCCACTAAAAGTCACAGGAGATGCTGCCTCTTCATTCCTATTGCTTGGCAGTATATGTGGCAGACAGTTCCTATTTTTTCTGTATGATATTGTCCAACTAGAAACTGCTGTGCTGAGTAGTAAGTTGGTGAATGTGTCTGTGCCTGAAACAATAAAGTCACAGTATTCCTTCTTGTAGCATATGTCATTGGGTGAAAACATTGTCATTCTGAAAAAAATAAAATAAATGAATAAATAAAAGGAGTCACTGTCTGAAAAGTGGTATAACCTTTCCAGGCCTTAATGGCTGCAAGTCCTTACTGAACTGTCATGTGGAGTAGGTGTGGAGCTGAGCAGGGACAGGTCAGGAATCTCTTTATAGGCATCTTACACTTGGTAACCCCAACCCAACTACACTTGTTTCCTAGAACAAGCAGTGAGCTAAGTCCTTGTGAGGCCTGGCGAGAAGCCGAAACTGCAGACGAAACTGTGACATCTAGCCTTTTTACTAGGGCCCAGGGCCTAAAATCCCTCCTGTGTTTACTTTCAGCTATACTTGTGGGACACAGGGTGTGTGTCCCCTCACCGGGAGAAAGAACAGGAGAATTCACCTGTACCTGCTTGCTTGCTTCCCCCAGCTGGGTCTGTGCTCGTTCTTACCCATCTCTGGGCCCCACTGGAAGCCGAGGTAAGTGCTGCTGGAGCTGAAAGGCATAGGGTGTTGGAGTTGGATTCGAATCCTGACATTTCCTTCTCTGAACACTTTCATGTCTCTCTTATTCACTTCCCCTCTCTTTCCCTCAAAACCTTCCTGTGACCTTGCATTCTCCTCAAGTTGCATGATACTGTGTTTTTTCTTGGCCAACTTCTTTCTGTACAAGTGTTTAATTTGCTATCTTATCAGAAAGACTTTATGTGCTGGACTTGAAGCTCCTGGAATGCTCTTGGCATGTTTTTGTTTCTCTTGCGGTTCACTTATGTTAGGAGACTTGTTTTTCTAGGTCCTGTTTGTTGTTCTGTCTGGCTGCTAGCTGCCCTGCTCCTGGCGCACTTTAGGTTGCTGCATCCTGAGAGTGGGGCAGGTGCGGTAGTCATCTCTCGTGAATTAGGGTGTGAGACCTCAGGCAGTTGTGAGTCCTTTAACAGGCCCCAAGCTGCCAAGGCTAGTAAAGCCTGGGGCATCCCCTGCTCAGGGCCAAGGAGACCTTGGGCTCTTCCAGCAACCCTGACATGGAAGCCACAGCCTTGCCCTTCTGTGGCCAGGAATCACCCAACCTGACTCTTAGCTACCACAGTGTTTCTTTCCTTTCCTACCCCAACACCCTGGTGCTTGTCTCCAGGACCTCCTGGTACAGAGGAGTAAAATTCCTCCACTGCTACATCTTTTGGGACCTCACCATAGCCAGGGCATTGCCCATGGCCTTTGAGCCTCAGCAGTTGCTTGTTCTAGGAAATAAGAGTAGCTGGGTTGAGGTTGGGTCGTGAAGCACCATGGATTCTACAGAACAAACTGCCATTTTCCCAGAATCATCCTCACCTAGAGGAGGATTCTCAGCTAGAATCTTTAGGATTTTAAATTTACGTTTTAATCTTTGATTCCTCTGGAATTTGTGTTGGTGTTTGGGGAGGAGCCTTATGGAACTACGACCCAAAACAATGAGCCTGGTTATAAGAATGCGGAAAGAAGCAGGACATTGTAACCAGCTGCTACTGCTCAAGGGCATTTTGGGGCAACACAGCCAGGAACTGGAAGCAAATTGGACGGAGCAAGTCCTTGTTTCTACCTGTCCCACCAAATAATTTATCCATTCTATTCATTTTCATTTGGGGGATATTAGAAATGAGTTCCTATATGGTGTGGTATCATAACAATACTTTTTCAGAAAGACTGATGATGCCAGTCAATGAAAAGGCAAGGAATGTGTAACTGGAGCGGGGTTGGCCTTTGTTCTTAGAGAAAACAGTTTATGTGATTGCTGACTTAAAAATACATCAAGATCATGTAACTTGCAACATAAAAGGATAGGACTGCCATTACTCAGAGGAAAAGAAAGGGAGTAGAGGACAGCCTACCAAGAAGGTGGGGTTGTTCAAAGTGTTTCTCTATGTCAGTCTGATCAAGCAGTGCTGTTGTTATTCCCAAGGTACTTTCAGAAATATCACAGTCTTTCTTTTGCTAAAATAAGAGATGATGCTCTAGACACAGTTCAGTAGCTGCCAGGTGAGTACTGTTGATTAATTTTGGCACAGGAGGAAGGGCTGGGGTGGGTTAGGCTGGAGGGGAATAGACTTGGGAGTAGAAGAATTACCTTCATATGTCAAAAGGGAGCAGATTAGGTGCATTTCATGTAGAGGCGCAAAGCTGAGTTAGGACTGGAAGGTGGAAGCTACTGGAAGATATATTTCAGCATAATTCAAGAAAGAATTTGCTGGTAGGGCTGAATAAAACAGCTAGAATCCGGAAGTAATGAATTCTTTGTCAAGGGAGGTGTCCAAGCAGGTGATGGATAACTGAGGTCAGGGATATTGGAGGGGAGCTCCGCGCATCATGTAGCTAAGGTTGAACAAGAAGAAGGCCTCTGAAGCTTCCTCTAAGGATGATAGTACATGGCTCCGCAAGTGTCTGAAGTTTGCTAGAGTGGCCACTAGATGTCACTCTTGTATATTTGCAAGAGCTAGATTGTTCTCTGGCTGATGCAAAGTAGAAATCAGGAACATGACTGACAAACAAAGTGAAATTTTATCAACACAATGTGCATCATTATCTTGTGCAATTCATTTTTAATAAATATAAGAAAACTTAAATATCACTTGAAGCAAAAATTCCCAGGATTTACTGTATTCTTAAAATTGGATTCACTTTCTAAATTCTCTTTTAAGTTATTCTTCCAGAATTCTCAGCATTTAATATAACTTGCCATAAAACTGCTTCTGTTCATCCACTGCCATCCATTTTCTGTGTCTGTTGTTCCAAATAGCAACTATGTCTCACTTTTTTCCACGTGACACATAGCACTGTGTAGCACTCATAATAATACTTCTGACAATATCTTACATTACTGTGATGCTTACTATTTATAGAGCACTCATTTATAGTGTCTCATGAAATCCATGTAAAATAAAATGGTTAGGTTTTTAAAATCTGAAGAAACAGGCTGAGTGATGGTAAGCAATCTGTCCAAGGTCATAAGTAAGAAATACTTCCCACTTTTATTGTGCTGAACTATGGAGACTCACGAAATGCTACAGACTATATCTCCTGATCATTCACATGCACTTGAGCATATTAAAGGCTCTGAGAATTCCCAGAGCAGAGAAACCTGTCAAACATTAGCCCCCAACCCCAAAGTCTACAAACATACTTAGCCACTATCTATTTCTATCTGTCTATTTACCTATCATGTATCTTTTTTTTTTTTCCAGAATGTGAGTTATCTAACAGAATACTAGCTTTTTGATTAGGAATTGCTGTAAGTGATGAGTGTCAAATTCAAACTCTACTCTGTCTTTTCTTTTTTTATTGAAGTACCATAATTTAATTTAATTTACTAGCAGTGTTTCAGAATGTGCCAAGTATCAAGAAAAAAAGCCTCAATTTTTTTCATAGCTCAAAAGAAATTCAGCTTATCAAAATCGATTATTCCCACCCCAAATCTTTCTATGTGGTCAACCTTCTTTGTCTCTTCTTAGCATTTCAGACATCTGAAACTAATAAACAGAAGTCCAAGATGAAAATCTCCACTTCCTCCTTGTTCCCCTGAGTCTCCTGGTGATTCCAGTTGGGGTGGCCACCTCGCTTCTCTGTACTGACTCTGCAGTTTAGACACAATATGGGCCATTAGGCTTGCTCTCAGTTTCCTGTGTTGTTGGTTCTAGCATGTGTTCAGCGTATCTTCATCATTTAATTAGAGTATTTATTTTCTGGCATCTGTTGAAGCTGTCAGACATATGGCCAAAACTCAGGAAATACACTCTGAGAAGTTAAATATCCCTTGAAAATGGACTTAAGGGCAAGAGATTGTTCCAGTTAAGTTGACTTGGCTTTTGAATGACAGCTGAAATGACTGAAGTCCTTACTTCCATGGGGATGAGAAACACTGAAAGCTCCTTCTACATCACTGACTGAAGTATTTCTGAGCCACCAGGTACCTCAGGGCAGCCTTCACATCCTTGTTCCTGAGGCTGTAGATGATGGGGTTGAGTATGGGGGTCACAACCCCGTAGAAGAGGGAGATGAGCTTGTCTGAAAAATCCTCTTTGTCTGCCCCCAGGGAGTCCTTAGACTTGGGTTTCCCATACATGAAAAACAAGGTTCCATAGTATATTATCACCACAGTGAGGTGGGCAGAGCAGGTGGAGAAGGCCTTTCTTCTCCCTCAGCTGAGGGGATCCTCAGGATGGTAGCAATGATGAATATATAGGAGACAGAGATGAACAGCACAGGGACCCCCAGGAAGATCACATTGGTCACCCCCATGCTGATCACATTGATGGAGATGTCAGCACATGCCAACTTCAGGACAGCCAGAATCTCACAGGTGAAGTGGTTGATGACATTGTCCCCACAGAAGGGCAGCTGAATTGCCAAGGATGTGTGTACCAGAGAAGCAATACCACCAATAGCCCAGGAGCCAGCAGCCATGGGCACGTAGGCAGCCTTGCTCATGACCACAGGGTACCTCAGGGGGTTGCAGATGGCCACGTAGCGGTCAAATGCCATCGTGCCCAGAAGCACACACTCTGTCCCCGCCATGGCGAAGGAGAGGAACATCTGTACGGCACAGCCTGAGAAGGAGATGGTTTTCCTGGGATTGAGGAAGCCATCCAGGACCAGAGGCACCGAGGAGGTTGTATAGCAGATGTCGAGGAAGGAGAGGTTCCCCAGGAAGAAGTACATGGGCGTGTGCAGGCGGAAGTCAGACACGGTCACCAGGACGAGGACCCCGTTGCCCAGCAGGATCATCAGGTACATCAGCAGGATGAGCACAAAGAACGTTTTCTCCAGCTTCGGGTGGGCTGAGAGGCCCAGAAGAATGAACCCCAGCACTGGAGAGGTCTGATTAGCTTTTTCCGTGTAATATCCTGTCTGTCATGAGCAAAGTACAAAAGCAGCACATCAGGCTTTCTTAAGAAGAGTCCCAGGCATCTGGTACATGGTCAAGTCCTGCTGCATAACAGGAGAGAGTGTGTGTCTTAGAGAAAAATGACCACAAGAGACAGTAGGTGTCCTCAGCTCTTAGATGAGAGAAGGTCAGAGCTGGAGCAGAGCTTTCAGTGGGCCAGGATTGGGTGAGAGTGTCCAGCAGTCTCACTATGTGAGGGGTTTTTCTCGTGTTGCTGCATCCTCTCATTGCCCATCAAAGCAGCAGAGGCCTGGAGAGGGAAGTGACCTGTTCAGGTCTTCTAAGTTGGTGACAGAGACCGGACTTGAACCCAGAAGAGCTGATCCCCAGCCAAGGAGAGCTTTTCCTCTGTCTTATGTTTAATGGCTGGAAAATGCTATGAATAATTTCTCTTTAATGTAAATATACAGAAATTTGATTTCATCTGAGTTTTCTTAGATTCTCAGGGAGGAAAATCCTCAAGCTGATCCAATTCTTAGAAGCAGCAAATTTTAAAGCCTTCTTAAATTTTGATTACATTTGGAAGGAACTTGTATAAAAGTGTTAATCCACTTCCAGAGAGAAGCAAGCCCAGTTAAAGGCTCAGCCATACTGAGGATGACTTTTCCAGTCTGCCCACCATCAGTGACACAAACTTGACTGTCATCAGCACTGGGATCTGCCTATTTTAATACAGATTGACAGCAGTATACGAGGAGGTTCCTATATGGGGAGGAACTTTATGACGTCAACACAAGTATTGACTGGAGTGATTGAACCTTGCTCTGGGATGACAGCTGTGCAGCTTACTGACCAGTTGACTCAATGATTAATAACCATACACACTACAGTTAACAGATGGGAGACCATACAGCATCAACTTCTAACCTCATCTCACTGGGATATTGGTGAAATTTATAGCTTGGAGGTAACTTAGGAATTTTTTTTTCTTTGTCCTTTTATGCTTGTATTTTATTCTTGTGTAATATTCCGGCTCTCTGACCCCATCCTTGTGTTCCATACAGGCAACTAGCTTATAGGGAGACCTATGTGCCTTTGTGTAGAGGGTTTCTAGTCTTTTAGCTGCAATCGCTCAGACTCTAAATCCAGAATCCTCATTGATAATATTTCTCTAGCTCTTTCTTAATTGCAGTGGGGCATGTGTGTAGGAGTGGGTGGACGATGGAGGATGGGTGGTTAATACTAATGAGCATCTACTCTGTACCATATTTTTTGAAACATCCCATGGAGAAGATATTGTCATTCAAGGTTTATGGAGGAAGTCACCAAAGCTCAGAGGAGCAAAAGGTTTTGCTCTGTAGGGTGGAATGACAGAGCTAGGGTTAAATTGCAGGCCCCAATTCTGAGTTCTTTTCACCAAATAGCTGCCCCGGCACGTGAGGGTGTTCCTGTTTGCTCAGCGCAAGCCCACCCTGGGTGCCCCGCCATGAACTCCTGCCCCAGCGGATCTCATTCCTCCCAGTGGCTCTCCCAGCCCCTCCAGGAAATGAAAAGTAAACATTACAGTCAGTGTCACAAACAAAATTCAATAGTGACAAGGACATGCTGTACTTACAGAAGCCAAGGAAGGTGGCTACTGTTAGAGAAGCCTTCTGTCCACTGCCCTCAGACAGAACTTCGCACACAGAAGCCCCTGCCCATGAATAATGTGGTGTGGGCATGAGTGAGGTCCAGGGATTTGACCTGTGTGAGAGCTGCATCCGTGGAAGTCTTAGTGCCTATCATATGAAAGGTGCTAAATGAAAGTTGGTTTAATTGGGACAGACTGAACATCTAGGAAGACCTTGCACATTGAGACCAGAGCTGTGGGACCTGCCCCTGCCCGTGACATGGATCTTCTATGTCGCTTGAGCAAGTCCCTTCTCCTCCCAAGGCCTCAGTTTCCCCACTTGCATTATGAGAAGGCTGAATTTGGTGCTTCTCTGGGCATCCTGACTCTCGTGGACTGCCCTGTGCAGGGAGGCAGCAGTCCTTGGTGAAGGTGGCTGCCCACTCCTTCGGGTGGGGGGAGTGGGTATATGTGTTTGTGTTTGTGTGTGTGTGTGTGTGAAGAGGAGATCTGAATGCCTAGTTTCCCATCAAGGAATGGTCACCAGGAAGTGCTGTGTCAGGTTTTGGAAGGGACTCAGAAGGGAAGAAAACAGAGCTCTGACTCCCACAGCCCATGAAAGGAGTGGGGAGGCCAGGCAGGAGCAAGGAGAGGAAGGGAAGCTTTCACTCTGTGCCCGTACCTGTAGGTGTGGCTTCCGGCTTGTCCCAAAGGCCTGGTCTTGCTGTGGTCCTGTCCCTGCCTGTCTCTGGAGCCATCAGGCAGCTGAGGAATGGGAGGCAGCTCAGTGTGGTCAAGAGACCCTTACACTCTCATACAGCTTTTCTGAGGAGCTGTTTGCCTCGAAAGAGGGAAAACTTGAAAAACCTGCATATCCATCACCTCAGCAGTTCCAGCTCTGAGAAATAATTGTACAGAATCCATGAGAGTGGAGGGCCAGTATCTTGCAGTAAAGGCTCTTACCACAGCAGTATTTGTGAGCAAAAAATGGGAAAAATCACCATCCACTAATAAATGCCTAAGTAAATTATGCCATTTCATATAATGGAATGACATGGACATTATGTTTGTAATTTTTTGTACTATAATATTATTCCACTATAATGATAAATGAGAAGGGAGAATACGAAATTGTACACACCATTACGATCTCAATTAGGTAGATGATATGCATGGATAGAAGTGACTGAAAGGAAATTACAGCAAAATCAGTGGTTTTGTACCTCTTTGTACCTCTTTAGTATGACCAAATTTTCTCTTAATACAATAGGCACAAGTTACTTTGTGGTCAGTGGGTAAAAATCTTAGTATTTATCAAAGGAAAGTGAGAAAAATGGGAAGAACTAGCCACAGAGTGGGAACCACATGGACTAGCCTTGAGGCCCACCAGTCTGCTCACCCTCTGACCCAGAGGAAGCCCCATTCTTCTGAGAAATCTCTGCAGGAGGGGCTGGGGACCCCTCCCGCTCCCCTCCCTGGCTCCTCGTGAGGATGGAGCAGCAGGGCAGGGGCTGGGTCAGTGGTGAGCACTGGAGAGCGTGAGGGCCCGCCTGGCATTTACCTGGTTGCTGCTCCCTGCTGTGGCACCAGCCATGGGATGGTGTCTCGGAGCAGAGGGAGGGCTAGGCGGAAAGTCTGTATTCAGGAAATGCTCTACAGAAGGCATGGCCGCCACCTCTGTCCCCGCCACAGCCCAGCTCTCCCCACCTGATTCCTGCTTGTGGCCGCTGTTCTGAGTCCCCTGATACCAGACACAATCCTCAACTGCTCACTGAACGCCGGGGTGAGAGCCTGGATACCAGAGTAATACCCAGACACTCCCCTGCCTGACTTCCTTTACCTCTGAGACCCTCTTTCTTCTTTTTCCTCCTAAGTCCTTGTGGGAACTTTAGCCTCTTGTTGCTGTTTCCTTCCTCCCAGCTTTGTCGATGAGCCCTGGGCATCTCTGCTACAGACTCTTCATGTAGAGAACCTCTCATCTTGGTCTGAGGCCCAGGAATCCCAAGGGCCTATTTCTCCAACAGTGAAGAGAGTCCTCAAGCTGCAGCCATGGACTCCTACGGGGACCCTTTAGTCCCAGAAGCAATTTAAAGTTTGGAATGTAAAATGTGCACAGGGTGCAGGGGCCCAGCCTACCTGGGGGCTCCAGGGACCACATCCTCCCAACCCATCACAATTAGAGACAGTGACAGGGACATGGCCAACTGGAGGCGGCGAGGGGAGCACAGCAGATGCTGGCCTCCTCCTGAGCCTTTCCTGGCGTCTCAGAGAAGCCAGTGTTTGCTTCAGGGACAGAGCACCTTGTCCCCAAGTTGAAAGACTAGACACCCAGAATGGAGAGGCAGGACAGATGTCTAACAGCAGCAGCCACTGCAGAATTAGCTGCATTCATTGAGGCTCCCCCGCGTGCTGGCCACCATGATAGGCGCTTCACACACATTATATAAGTTCAGTAAAATCCGGCAATACATATATATTGAGTGTCTACTTCCAGTCTTCCTGGGAGATCGTTTAACTATCCCCCAATTTTTTTTTATTTGAGGGACCAAGCTTTAAAAAAATTAAGCAATTTACCAAAAACCACACGTCTTGTGAACAGCTGAGCAGGGATTTCAATCTCAGTACATCTAATTCTTTTTATCACCATTGATATCATCATCATCATCATCATCATCACTGTTATTTAATAGGTCTGGCTTGTACTTGGAACTAACTTCATAAGGTTTAGAAAGTATAATAAAATTAAACCTCTGTCTCTAGTCCCCCAGTTCGTCTCCCTCAAGGCAACCAATGTTAGCAATTTCTTGTCTGCTTTTTCTTCAGAGATATTCTATGCATTTGTTAAGCAAGAAAGTAAGGTAGTAAGACAGTGTGCATTTGTGCTAAATTTGCCTCCAAAATAAATTTAGCACAAATACACTCTGTCTTGTCTTGCTTTTCTCACTTAACAATATACCTTAGAGATATATACCTGGGAAAAAATACATAGTACTGCATCATTCTTTTAAATGTCTGTATATATTCCATTGTGAAGTTGTAGCATCATTTAATTAACTAGTCTAATGTTAATGGACACTTAGATTTTCAAAGCTTTTCCAATGTTATGCTATTACAATCAGTACTACAACAAACATACTTGCATATTAATAACTTAGTGCATATAGTAAAATATGGTTTATGTACGTTTGTACTTTTGATAGATATTGCCAGATTTACACATTCTTGTCATCGGTATGTGAGAATGTCTGTTTTCCCATGCTCTGTCAACATAATATGTTGGTCTTAAGACTTTTTGGCCTTTGCCAAACTGAGTTGAGAAATGACATCTCATTGTAGTATTTAAAATTTTGTGTTTAAAATAATTTAAAATGTGAAATATAGCACACATATGTAAATGCATATCAAAATATATAAAACAAATTTTAAATCGAAAGAATAATAAAGTAATCACTACCTTATTTAAGGAGTAGAACATTGCCAGCACCTGGGAACCTCCCTGAGTATTTTTCCCTACTCCTAGTCTTCTTTCTTTCCTTACAGAGGTAATCACACTCCTGATTTTAGTTACAATCATTTCCATGCTTTTCTTGAATTTTATCATGTATGGATACATACTTAAACAGTATAGTTTAGGTTTTCATCTTTCTGAACTCTATAAAAATCAGATCACTTGAGGTGTTCTTTTGTTTTTTTCTTCATTCAATATTACGTTTGTAAGATTCATTGATATTTAGGAGTGTAGCTAAATTCATTAATTTCTTTTGCTGACTTCCATTCTATGACCATAGCACAGCTTATTATTTATACATTCCATTTTGATGAATAATTGGGTTGCTTCCCAACTGAATGCTGCTATAAGTATTTTATATGTTTTCCCTGGTACACACATGTATTCCCATTTGTCTTCATTGCATTTACAACCTGTCCTTTCTCCACCAGTCTTCATTACCATCTCTGTCATATGTCAAGTCTCCAAACGTAAATTGGTCTGTTGCTGAGATCTTTGTTCTTTTCCATTGGTATGTCTATTCCTGTGTCAATGCTACACTTCCCTAATAAATGTTGCTTTATTCTATGCTTTGATTTCTTATAGGGTAAGTCCCTTTATTCCCACTCAATACTTTTTCAAATATGTCATGGCTGTTCTTGGTCTTTTGTTCTTTCATATAAATTATTGAACCAGCTTCTTAAATTTTACAATAATTATTTTAGAGATTAAAATATTGGGATTACATTGAATGTATAGATCAATTTGGGGAGAAGTAACATCTCTGTAATATTGAATATTCCTACCTATGAATGGGAAATATTTCTCTCTTTATTTTAATATCATTCAAGACATTTACTAATTTATAATTATATGCATAAAAGTCTTAGAGCTCTTTTGCTAAATTTACCCCTGTATGGTAGTATTTATTTTTTATTTCAATATATAAATATCTTTATTTATATTTCTTGGTGTCCTTAAAAATGTTTCATAATTTATTGCTAGAATATAGATATACAGTTGGGTTTTTGTATATTTATTTTATCTAGGGATCTTGCTAAACTCTCTTTTAAATACTTACATCTCTAAATTATTTTAGATTCTGTACATAGTAGGCACTTATGAATGATATTTATTTATGAATGATGACAGGTTTTTTCCTTTCTTCAAAAATTTAGATCTGTAGCCTATTTTTCTTGCCCTACCTCACTGGCTGGGACCACCGGTTCAGTACTGAGAGTTTTTATCATGAATGAGTGTTGTTTTCCCAAAGTTTCTTCTGCTTGACTTGATACAATCATGTGATTTTTTCCTAGTCTATTAATATGGTAGATTGCATTGACTGATCTTTGAATATTAAACCAGCCTTGCATTCCTAGGAGGATAGGATCCTTCTTACTGCTGGGTGAAGAACAGGAGTTTCACTAGGGCTCTGTTGATTCCCTCCTGGCTGGCAGAGGCAGGAGTGCCTAGTATGACTCTCATGATCTCCATTGACACCATGGGAAGGGGTGGCTTCATAAGCACAGACACAAGTCTTGACTTTCCATTAGGCCCCCTCCTCTGATACCAGTCAAGTGGGAAGGAGAAGGAGCTTCCCACATAGTCTCCACTGACAGTGTGGGGTGGGAACTTGTTACTCTTCCCAGGGGAGATAAACATCCCACCTCCCTGCTCAGCCTCCTCTGATACCACACTGGCAGGGGAATGGTTGGGCTGCCTTGTCATAGCCTGGCAAGGGTAGAAATCTAGGCCATCAGCTTAGTCTTTGCTGGTGGGGTGGGGCTGGGGCCATTGTTTTTTCTGAGATGTTTGGCTGGAGTAGAGTAGTTCTTGTCAGGACATTGAATTTTGTCAAACACTTTTTCTACATCTATTGAGATGATCATTTGGTTTTTCTTCTTAAGTTTGTTAATGTGGTGAATTTTTAATGTTTAACCTATCCATGCATTTTTGGGATAAATGCAACTTGCTCACAGGGAATTATCCTCTAAGTCCATTACTGTATTTGTTGTATTGATTTTTGCGGGGTGGGAAAGGTAATTAGGTTTATTTATTTATATATTTATTTTTTAATGGAGGTACTAGGAATTGAACCCAAGACTGTGTGCGTGCTAAGCATATGCTCTACCACTGAGCTATACCTGCCTCCAATTGTTTTACTGATTTTTATAATTTAGCATTTTGACATCAATGTTCATGGAGAGTACAGGTCTGAGAGGAATTTATTCCTTTTGTTTTATTTGAAAAAGAGCCTGGGATTTGAACAAGGCTGGTTTGTAGTTTCTTCTCTCTTAATTGGGAATGATCTCATGTAAAAAAATATAAAATTGCAGTTGGAGTATGCAGTGGTCAGCAAGTGACCATATAAAGATGCCTTTACTTGGGGCTTTGTAATTTTCAGGACTTTGTAAGTTGCTATGTAGAAAAATTACTCCAGCCAGCTTAATTTCAAAATAAACTTTACTTTGATGCTTATGTAACTGAGAAATTCAAGGGTGGATTCAGTCTCAGGCACAGCTGGAATTAGGAACTTTAGGACTCTCTGTCCCTTCATCTGTTTCTTATCTCTACTTGTCTTTTCCTGGCTTCATTTTAAATTCTGGTGAACAGGCTTCCTCATATGTTAGGAAAGAGAGCGGTCAGCAACCTAATTCACATTCTGTTCGAGTCTCCAGATGAGAACTGAGCCCTGGCCAACACCTAGACTGCAGCCTTGCCGAGGACTTATTTAAATACCTAACTCACAGATACGGCAAGACTGTAAATGTGTATTATTTTAAGCCACTAAGTGGTGATCTGCAGTGCAGCACAGGAAGCTTATATAATACCCCTTCTCTTCTTGCCCCAATTAGAAATATCCTGGAGAATGGTTTAAATTAGTCTGACCTAGGTTACATGCCTTCCCTTAGACAATTGCTGTGGCCAAGGGTTGGCGTACTACCATTGGCAGCCCCACTAGAACCACATGATAAGAATGAGAGGGAGCAGTTTCCTCCCAGAACAATAGGTGTAACTGACCTCTGTCGTGGTGTTCTTAAGAACTCCAGCAATACTATGATTTATGTGTGCTTATAGTAGAAGTCACAAATTGGCAACCCATAGCCAAAAGTAACTAGGGAACAAATATTGTTTGGTCCTTATAATACTTATCTTTATATTGTTAAAGAATTTAGGGAGATACTCAGCTCAACTCTACAAGCACTAAAGGTAAATGTGGAACCTGCAGGACGGGGAGCAGCTTCTGCGTACCCCCTCCCCCTTCCTGCATTCATGCCTGGCTGCAGTTGGCTGGAACCAGGAGGAAGAGGCAGTTTGCTCCTGCTTCCCTACCTCATCCTTTCCCTCAGTTACATTGCCTGTCTGGCATCTGAAATGCTCTGATTTAAGCTCTTTGGGTGATTACATTCTTGATATGTTGTCTGTGATTATCTGTGATGTTTGATTTGGTCATATTTATGATAACCTTCATTGATACTCTACTCTCTTGAAGATTTTAGGGGTCATCCTAAATTGAGAAAAATGGTCACCAGTAATCATCAGGGAGAAATTAATCTGCACTTACACAGAACTCTGAGAGACTCATTTGTTAGTGGTCTGATCTAAACTCTGGTGATTTCCAAAACAAGTACTGGAGTAAAGGCTGGTTTTCTTTGCTTCTGAGAACCTTTATCAGTGAGCCTTTGTGTTTGCCTTCACGCCCTGTCTTGC